ATTTGTGAGAGAGGGGGGAGAAGGAGCGAGAGGGAGAAAGAGAGAGAGTGAGTGCGAGGGAGGGAGAGGGAAAGGGAGAGAGAGAGAATTTGTTTGCGAAATAATCGATAGAATCACAAAGTAAATGAATGTGTTAAAGAGAAAGAAAAGCAGAGCAAAAAAAAAGAAGTAATTGAATAAGATTATTTGTCGTAGAGTGAGTGTGAATATGCAAGAGTGACTAAATTAAAAGGTACTAAAAGAGACAAAATTTTTTTTTTAGTATAGTGCGAAATTAATTATGGTCAGACTAAAACTGCAACCCGAGATCATAAGGGAGAAGGTATTAGATGAAGAAGTACGCTGAAAATGGTTTGATGCTTAAACTGAAAGATGATACTATTAAAGTTAATATTAATAAAACTTTGTAATAAAAAAAAATAATCTTGTGTTTTTTTGGGAGGAGGCAAATAAACACTGAAAAAGGAATTTAATAGCGTGATGTATTATTGTTTACAAAACAAGAAATAAATACTCTGGGAAAAGAAATTTTTTTGTGGTAACTACTTGAATACGAGAGGGTCTCAAAAAAATTTTTTTTTAGTTCAGAAAGGCAAATGTTTTGTTATCTCGTTAAACCGAAACTATACAACGTGAATGCAAATTTTGAAGGAAGCGAGAGATAATCTGGTATGTAAAAAAAACCACCGGTGAATTGGCCGGTTTTTCAATTTATGAACATCGGCAAATTAATCCCAGGAGGGGAACAAAAAAAAAAAAACAACAACAAATCATTATGCAGGGGGAAGTGTGATCACAAACGAAGTCCTGCTGTTTTGGAACGATATCCTTTTATAAAATCGAGCCTCGTGAACACATCTACAAACCAGTCGCCTCGTCCTTTACTCGACCGCCTTTATTAAACTGTCTGTTCCAATTTTGTACCGCGTTATTAAATTATAAAACGATTAATTTGCTCCAGGAATAGAAATCAAATGGAAGGAGGAAATCCTGGTGGGAGGAAATTTGAAACAACGATTAGCCAAAATTACTTTTTTTACAGTCTGAGTTCAGATTATTCGCTATGGTAAAAGTTAGTAAGTTCATGAGGTCCCAAGATGATCGGCGGCTATTGCGAATTAGTAGGTGGAGCTCTAACTAGTAAGTAATACATAATGAGTGGGCAGCATGGCGGGTTGGAAGCACCAATGGCAGGACGGCCACACCCTTCAAGCGACACTTGCTAATTATGCACACCCACTAACTACCACGTCCACTTTGGGTTAGAAAACCGGGAAAAGGAATTTTGAATATTTGTCGGGTTGAGGGAGAATTTATTCATGCTAATACATTACCTGGGCCTAGACTCAACTATTAACTGTACGGGTTTTTCAACATTTTTACATAGAAAATAATATGCAAGTTCTATTTATGACTTTTACCAAGATTTTCTAACCTTGTACAACATAAAAATAACAAAAGTCTTATTTTGTCTATAAATCTATTTAAAAAAACCTAAATACAATTATTAGCACGTACACTGCGAGTCAATCTTCGCTTATATGATTAAAAAAAAAAAAAAAGGATTACAAAAAATAGTTCAATGCTGTACGTGTTACCATTTCTCTTTTATTCTACGGTTAGTAAACAAATCAAGAGTAGTAAATTAAAAAAAGACCAGTACTTTTAAGTCATAAACATGTAGACACATAATTAATTGGTAGAACTAAGGCAGAGTGATAGGAGGAGTGGAGAAAAAATAAGAAATTAATACAATTTTAGAACGGAGAAAACAGAGAGAAAGAACACAGAAGCGAATTACAAGAGCAATTATTACAATACAATAAATTATAATTGTATTTAGTTTATGTAACTGTATGATAGATTGTGAGTGAGAGGAGAGAAGAAATATAAAGAAAGATCATACTGATGCGAGGGAAATGTACGCGCGCGCGCGTGTGAGAGAGAGGGAGAGAGAGAAAGAGAGAGTGAGAGAGAGAGGGAGAGGTGTTGTGTTTGTGTACGTTTTTGTTTGATTACGTGAGTCAATCAGATCGACGGAAAAAGAAGGTTTTTTTTATGAGTGAGATATAGAAAACAGTGTTGTTTTTTCTTACAACAAATATGCCAAATCGTCTGAAAAAATATAGTTCTTCAGGGTCTATGTTTTGCAGCCGATTAATTGATGTACCCACTTCACCTTTTTTTTTTTTTTTTGAAAAGTTATTTACTTACACAGTGAATGTGTCTGTTTTTATAAACGAGTTAGAGGGTTTAGAATACAAAGATACATTGATAAACTGCACGAGTTAGAGATGAAGATCGAGGAAGTAAATATAGATTGGTGAATGTATATTTTTCATTTTCATATTAGATTAAAAATCTTTACATTTAACACGATCTCCATATTAAATCCAATCGGTAAACGTAGGTCAAAAACTTTTTTTCGGAAGCTAATAAACAGAAGTGGGCACTTTGAAAAAATAGACTAATATTTAGTAAACGATTGGAAATTGTCTTTCCTTCCAGTATTGCCCGTACTGTATCAATACGGATAACGGGGTCACTACAGTCCATAAATACTGACTAATAAAAAACTCATGGAAGACCTCTGGAAATGTAATATAAAATCACTAACGTTTGAAAAACTTCCGGAAGAATTGAATTTTTTTCCTGTTAAATTCGGCATTCTTGAAGAGCTGTAGTTTTTAGTTAATTAGTAGACAAATTAAAATATATTGGGGTGCAAAATTAAGTATAAAACCAGAATTAATTACACCAGACTTCCTACCTTAAACTTAGTTTGATGAACTTAACTAGTATTCCTAGAAAAAAGTAAATTTTTTTGCTTATTTTTTGTCAATTTTTTTATTAAATAGAGAGGAAAAAACTATATACGATGGTTGTTTTTTGATGCAGTCAATTTTGGAAAAAAGAACGCGATAGGGTAGAAATAGCGAGAATATGCGAACCGTGTTGATCAAAGAGACAATTAACGCGAACCTGCCTTTTATATTTTGAAAATACTCGTTATTTCTACATATAATTTAACTCTTTATGGCCCAATGTTGTCGTAGAGCAGATGAATATTAGCAAATCAATTAATTAAGGGTTTTAGTTGAGATAAAAAAATCAGTGTCGCGAGCGGGTTTCGAACCCACGACCTTCGGCTAGATACGCCTCTACTCTACCCACCTTTTGAATTTTCCCTCATTTTTGGCATTTTTCGAGGGTCCGAGTTCAAAAGGTGGGGTTGAGATGGGAAGTTAGTGTCCGAGTGGATAGAAGTCGCGATAGCTCAAGTGGTAGAACAGCGTTGTACTGGCCGAAGGTCGTGGATTCGAATCCCGCTCGTGACACTGACTTTTTTATCTCAACTAAAAACCTTAATTAATTGACACATATTAATTGGTCAAGTGAACCACGAAATTAGCAAATCAGTTAAAAAGTTAGCGGAAATCCCGTAAATTTAGTGATAGAAAAAAATAAATCAGTCGTAGCAATAACAGGTAGTAGCTTAGTAGGGTCATCAGTGAGCCTGAACTAAATTAGCATTATTACCTGCTAACTTTAAACAAAATTTCTAAAGTTGGCATTATGCTGAAACAACTTTATACAAGAAAGGGTTAAATTAGGTTCACTTATAAACTGGGTATGAAAACTTTCATTTTTGTCAAATATAACAACCGATACAGTGGTGAGATGAAGGGCCATGTTGGAGATAGAAAATTCTAAAATGAAGATTTTAAATTGTGCGCTTAAAAAAATCATTATTGCCAATATACGGGATGAAACGACGAAGGACAAAAATTGCACCAGACTTAAACTTGGGTTTAGCTAAGCTCCAGCAAATTTGCTAAATTTGGTGTTGTCATGAAACAGCGTAGGGCAATTAAGTGCTAATAATGTTCTTTTTACCCAGAAATCTTTAGAATATGGTATACAAACTGGCACAGCATGTTGGAAAACATAAGCATGTGATATTCTTGGTTTAAGACGGGAAGTGGAATGGTTTTGAGTCATGTATAAATGTATGTTTTTAGTTGGTTCTAGTTAACCAAAGTAATTATTTAAATTGATTTATAATTTTTATATAAAATGTCCCACGATGCGGGACTTGAATCCAACCATTAGAGCTATATTGACTTCGGTCCCACGATACACCGACTGAAAAATATTTTTTATTGTAAGGTTGACTTGAATTGTAGATGATGTCTGTCGACAAATGGATTCGGGTGTTCAAATTTGGATTACCAAAGCCTTGAAATAAAGGCTTTCAAAAATAGTTGAGTTTTTAATGTTTCAAGCCAAGTTGACTATCCTGCGCCAGGGAAAAGGACGTGCACCGGTAGCCGATGACGAAAAATGTAAGCAATTTGAAAAAATCAAAATAAATTTTTCTCTCCGAGCTCGGTGGACGGTCGAAACTGAAGATGAAATATCCTCTTGTTTCGCGTCGTAAACGTCAAACAAGGACTTTCGAATGCCGACCAGATCGCCTTCGACAAAATAGCCGACGGCTTTGCCGCGCACGGGATTTCACATTCGCTCACCTTCTGGTTTTTATTGAAATATTTCTGCGAGTTTGGTTTTGGACAAAATCTGTCTTTTTTTCTTTCTTTCGAATAGGATTTATTACTGCAAGGTTGTAATGAATTGACTTGTTAATGATTCTAATTTACCATCTAACTCGTCCTGTGTAGGAACGGCTTTGAAATTTTAAATATTCATCGTCCTACTGGAAAAATCATAAATTAAGTTTTCGGCCTTTCTAGGCTAACAGAGTATACTGATGTCTTTCTACCAGAAATTTGGCCTCCAGAATATTCAATTTTGTCCTCATGGAAAACAAATTATTTGTAGGAGTGAATAATTTAAAAAAGTAACACAAGGTAATTAACAACTTTCTGGAGAAAAGACCTTAAATAAAAGCACATCGTTATTTAAGAGTTATAATTATCATTAAGTCTTCGGAAATGAATTAGTTCATTTATCTTTAACAGTAAGATGCAACTGCTTACCCTTGTGCATCCCTTGGTTATTTTGGCTGTCGTTCATTTTTGCCTGAAACAAAAACACAAAGATTAAATTTTATGTGTTACATCTATTGACGAATAATCTGGATCTCAGTATGGTCTCGATGAAAAAACAATACAATTGTTACCGGCAACCTTTCGACTCGGTAGCTTGGTAGTAACAAGTTTTCGATTAGGTGGTTAGCTTGGCAGTAACAATTGAATTTTTTTTTCATTAGATCTTAAGTTTGGCAGTAACAATAGCATTTTTTCATTAGCTCCTTAGCTTGGCAGTAACAAGTGAATTTGTTTGTTCATTAGGTAGTTAGCTTGGCAGTAACAACTGAATTTATTTTTTCATTAGATCGAAAGATTGGCAGTAACAATAGAATTTTTTCATTAGGTCGTTAGCTTGGCAGTAACAACTGAATTTTTTTTATTAGATCGTTAGATTGGTGTAACAATTGAATATGTTTTTTCGTTAGGTCGTTAGCTTGGCAGTAACAATTGAATTTTTTTTATTAGATCGTTAGATTGGTGTAACAACTGAATTTGGTTTTTCATTAGGTCGTTAGCTTGGCAATAAAAATGGCAATTGTTTTTTAATTAGGCCGAAAGCTTGGTAGTAGCAATTGAATCTATTTTTTCATTGGGTCGTAAGATTGGCAGATAGAATTTTTTCATTAGCTCGTTAGCGTGGCAATAACCATTGAATTTGTTTTTTCATTAGGTAGTTTGCTTGGCAGTAATAATTGATTTTGTTTTTTATTAGATCAATAGGTTGGCGTAACAAATGAAATGGTTTTTAATTAGGCCGAAAGCTTGGCAGTGAAAATTGAATTGATTTTTTCATTAGGTCGAAGGCTTGGTTGTAACAATAGAATTTGTTTTTTTCATCCAGAACATACTAAGGCAATACTGTGATCGAGATTTTTCGTCACAAAAATTAAATAACGTTTATAGTGGGTAGTCAAGTTCGATTTTTTAATGAATGATATCTAGTACTTAAACTTGGTTTAAGTCCAAAAAAAGAACCATGAAAGCATCGAAAAAAAGTCATGAAAACATCGCAAGTCTGTCAGGTTCGTTCGAGCTGGAAAGGGAAGCCGTCCGAAGCCGAAAGGTGAAAAATGCTCTTGACAGATTAACCGTAAACTTTCGGGGGCCGACGATGGGTCCGACATCTGTCCATATTTGTGATGTGATTTACATAATCCTTCACATCGCGAGGCGTGTTCTTCAATCTAGGGCCAACTTAAACCTCAAAGCTGCTTAGGTTTTACTTTTGTATCCTCATTTCCATTTAAAATCGTACGGAATTGAGTTTATTTAGCCGTTTTAAACTCCTGTTCGTGCCATTATATGAAAATAGTTTTAGCTTTTTGAAGTTTTATTCGCAACGACAGAATCACCGGCGTTTTTGTTTTGAGGCGGCGGTCAAAAAAAGAAAAGAATGAAAACCGCAAGGATGTCGAGGATCGTGGTGTCCGTAATGGCAACTTCCCAAGTTGGGCATAGGCGGTTTTGGATTTCGACAGTGGGATCTTAAAGGGGGTCGCCTTTTTGAATATAACGCTAAAATTAAGAGTGAAACATTTGACATTTAGGTCAATCCAAGCCAATTGATACAAAACAAAATCGATATGACGCTCAGTAAATATAAATTTGACAGTTAACACGTTCGCCTTGTAGAATAAGTACAAGGGCTATCAAAAATTCTCCCCAAATTGCCAAATTACAAATATAACTGACTTTTCCGAAGAAGAGTTGCAGCTTAAGATATATTTCCAATATAAGGGTTGATTGAGCAAAAAATACAAACTGATATTATACGGGGAGGCTACGGACGTGGGATCTCACCTATTGTATTAAACAACTTGAGCAGAAAATATTTTAAGTATATTTTTTTTGTGAGTCGAAATTTTTTTATTATAAATTTATTTATTAAAACTGATCTTATTAGACCAACCATTAATTTTACAATAATATAAGAGAATAAATAAATGTTACCATTCTTATAAACCCATAATGTTTTATTCTTCCTAAGAACGTGGTTAAATGGTAAATGTTATTTAAAAATGAAACAATGGCTAAAAATGACAATTAATTAAGGTTTTTAGTTGAGATGAAAAAAGCTAATGGCACGAGAGGGATTCGAACCCACGACCTTCGGCTAGATACGCCGCTGCTCTACCACTTGAGCTATCGTGACTTCGATCCTCTCGGACACCAAATTCCCATTTCAACCCCACCTTTCGAATTTTCCCTCCTTTTTGCCGTTTTTCAAATGCCGTGTAATCTATTTGATTCTCGTCGAGAAATGAAATGGCCACGGAGAGCTTTAGTCAAGGTACAGGTGAATTGGAAGATATTTATTGGTCAAGCGGACCACAAAAACTAGTGAATTTAATAGGTTAAAATGAAGTATCTTCACTGAAGCCCTCCGTGGCCATTTCATTTGTTGCCGAGCATCAAATAGATTACACGACATTTCACGAGCGGGAATGGATCGAAGTCACGATAGCTCAAGTGGTAGAGTAGCGGCGTATCTAGCCGAGGGTCGTGGGTTCGAATCCCGCTCGTGACACTGACTTTTTTATCTCAACCAAAAACCTTAATTAATTGTAAAATATTACTTGGCCAAGCGGACCGCGACTTTAATAAGATTTACATTTCACTATTCACTATTCATTTTAACTACACAGGTTCATATGGCTTTGTCGTTATATGCCATATGAAGTTATGTAGTTAAGTATATTTAAAAAGAAATATGTTTTGCTGCATTACAGTCCTTGTATTTCCAGATTATTATTGAAGGTTTAGTTTTTTTACTTAAGAAAATAATAATTTACGTTTTTTTGTTGTTGTTAGAAACCTAGAAGTAATAATATTTGAAGTGTTTGCTAAGTTGTTCGATCACCTATTATGTATTGAATGCTCGTATTTGTAACTTTACTCTCCTTGTTTTTCTTCGTGTTTAAATTAGTTTAATTTTTAAGCAACAACGTTGATAATTTTCTTTCGCAAAAACATGTAAGAATACCAATTTTAGGTTTTTTCCATATATTGCACCTTCGAATGGTTCCGATTTTTCCCATAAAACTCAAAAGTAGAGATAACGTTGGAAGAGCTGAATTGATCTACAGAAAACTTCACGCAGTTTAGAACTCTGTAGGATACACGCAATGGCGGGAAAGTGTTCAGTAAAGAAATCAGAACCGGAGATAGAAAATAAAAAGTTTGAGGCGATTTTGTTAATTTCATTCCTAATTTTCTCACTTATAATGACGAATCGTATAAACTATTGTCTTAGCATGAAAAAAGAACTACCGAGGATTTTTAAAAAGTTTGCATAACGTTCAATTTAGATGTAATCCAGACGAGTTGGAAATTTTTGAGTAGAACAAAACAATTGAGGAAAAATTTCTATTTTGGGTTTACCATTTACCCATACCCATGCGACGGCTTTAAAGGGTGCTTGAAATGAAACGGAATTTGACGACTCTAGTCTCATGTAATTGATTAATTATTTAGACTAAAAAAATCGATCTCGTTGCTGAGGAACTTTACAGACAAAGGACAAAAATACTTTGTAAAGTTTTGTTTTATCTTAATTTTTTCTCATAATATCATCAAATTTATATTTATGTTGACACTTGGATGAATGGAAAGATGAATTTCCAACGGTTGTCAACGTTGAATTTGGATAAAATCCAGAAGATTTATTAATTTTTGAGTTAAAAAAGTAAAAAAATGTCTATTTTGAGTTTGCCATAAAAATTGGCATTTGATGGCTTTAAAGGGTTCTTCAAACGATTCCGAATTTGACGGATCTAGTCTCATGTAATTACTTTATAACTCAAGATTTAAAAATCTTCCTAAAAACTTCTCTTATTAGTCACCCAGCAAATGTTGAATTTAAAATTTGTCTTGGTACAACACTAGTCCGGAAGTGTATATTGCTGGAAGAAACAACATCACATTGATGATTTATTGAATGATTTTCCTTTTTTCTAACATTAATTTTTAACATATTATACGAGGAAATTTATAGTGTTTTTGTTGCTTTTATCTTTATTTTCACACCAATCATAACACAAAATTTAAATTTATTTTGACATTTGGTTGTACGAGAAGATACAATATTAATCTGGTTGTAACATATGAATTTTTCAGTGGAACATCAAACATCGGAGTAAATAAAAATTGCCCTGGGATATCCAGCTCAAAAATATATATAATTTCGTGTATAATATTTACAGGAAGTTAAACCCTTGTAAACATCACTCAATGACACACGTCTGGCCTCCGTAAATATATTAAAACGGGAGAAATAAAATAAATTAAACATTTAAGGTGTTTTTGTTGATTTCATTTATATTTTTCTCACTTTTAATGATAAATCAACTAAATTTTATTGACATAGGCACACAGAAGATGGATATAACTTGTCAAAGATTGTAATTCCGTGGACATTGGATAATTTTCAGTGAAATTAAGCTTCTTTTTTTTTAACAAACACCGAGGAAAAATATACCAATTTAAATGGTGCTTAAAACAAATTTGAATTGATTTTTTTCCAAAAACAGTAAAATTTACTGAAAGTGCCTTTTAGTTTTTGTAACTTTTAATATATCTGTGTACATAATGTAATGCGATCCTGCACATGTTTTCTTCTTCCTCGGTAGAAAAAAATACTAGTTGGTATATAATAACCTTGAAATACATGCACAACAAATTTTTTTATAATTATTTAATTTTTTTCTAGACTCCTAGACCCCCAATTGCAAGAAAACTGAGACACGTTTCTATTATTTTTTGACCTAGTATCACAAAAAAAAAAAAAAAAATCATTGCAATCCATGATCACACATCCCTGATCTCCCTTTGTAAGTGAAAACTCAGGATACATCTAAAATGTGGTAGAATTTGTATTAATAAATAAACATTCAATATTCGCCACCTAGAATTCGCATTGTAGTACTAAATTTATTTAAATTTTGGAAACTCCTATGCAACCTAAATAATGTTTAAGTTTCTTAACTATCT